TACGCTGTTGCAAATCGTCGATATATACGGGATACCTTCGTATCAACAGCGCTTGCAAATTTTCCTTTCCTGTCTTGTAAGTTGTGCATGAACTGACATTGCCTTTCATCATTAACTAGATTTCACTGATTTACCTTTCTTTTATTCAGCTGCTATAAACCGGAACTTTTAAGGTTATTTTCCCCTGGCGATACTGAATTTTGTATGTTTCGCTGGCGGAGGATTTTTGGATGCACGAAAGCAAGGCTGCGCCTATACCATGAAAGAGCTTATCGATATGTTTGACATAAAGCTGATTAGCAGACATCCGACAAAATTGGATTTCACTTGGCTTGATCATTATAATCGTGATATAATACGCCAGACAAATTCAGAAGATCTCATACCCCATTTGCGACAAACAGTGAAAGAAAGGTATAAAGACCATAAGCTCTTCAACGCAGAAGCTCTCGACGATCAGTATCTGAAAGCGATACTGCGGCATGTCAAAGACAGGCTTTCTAACTTTTCAGAACTTCTCAGCGACGAGTACGAGTTTTTGTGGATAACGCCGGAACCAGAATCGTACATCAACATTGGAATGCCTGGAAATGAAGCTCAAAAAATTTTAAATGCCGTTTGTGACGCCCTTCTTTTTGGAAACGACAGCTCATTTACAAAGGATAACGTATCGCATCGTATGGAAAACGTGATAAAGTCATTTAACTTGAAGAAATCTGAATTTTTGAAATTCATGCGGTTGGTTATCACCGGCAGAAACAGAGGTCTTCCAGTTTATGAAATTTTTGAGATTTTTGGAAGAGAAAATTCGATTAATCGACTCCGTAAAGCAACAGTGATTTTTAGTTGCGATTCGTGAATCATTTTGAACTTCGTTATCAATGGCGAAGTAAACTTACTCTAAACTTTATAAAAACGTAGAGTTATTGTATGGTGTAGAATTATAATTCTTTAATGTTTTGTTTATAGTTGGTACCCACTTAAATTCGAAATACAGTAACTGAGGTGAAGGCGTTTGTTGCTTATCGGCATTTAAAAAAAGAGTATGCTGCGCGTTAACAAAAATTCTATCGTGATCGATTCCTGACATTGTTTCGCTTTTCTGTCTGTAGCGCAGTTTTATTTGCGTTTGTTCTAGGCAAAGGTATAGAGATTAGGATAGAGAGGCTGGTGTTGTTACATAAATGTGTTAAGCATAACTGTTCACTCAAAATTGCGAGCTTCACGTGGGAACCAATCCGGTACATTGCTGACATTGTTTATGAAGGTCAGCTTGCACCGTGGATGAACAAGCTAGAGACAATTTTGCGTTCAGAGAGTAGCTATTCTTTCTGCAATGCACGGTGTCTTATAGCAAAAGTTTGAAAAACTGTGAACACAGCGGACATCACAAACCGGAGACATTCAGCTTACGCAGACGGCTCAGGATACTGATCACAGCAAAAAATCGGACGTGCTGGAGAACACGGTGTACTGTGTAGGTCGTTAAGAAGGACCATTAACAGATTTGAAAGCAAACATTTTAAGTGACAGATTTAAAGCGCTCGAGCAAAGTTCAACGGGCAGGATGAGTTGCTCTAGTTATTTGTTCATTAATAACAAGTGAGGTTAAGGAACAGTGACATTACGGGCTACAGTAGACAATTTCGCGTAGAATATAGTTGCGCATAACAACAGCTATTATAAGCTTAACGAAGAAACTTTATTTATTTTGAGAACGCTAAAATAAGCTAAGATTAAAAATGTTCGCGAGTTTTTCATTCCGCGACGATGGTACTACTGACTAAACTACTAGCGTTTTTCCAGTCGATGAAATCTGCCATTTAGTCATTGACCATTATTTCTGCATTTATTCAGTACGTTTACGTCATAGGGATGGCTTGCAGAAAAACGATTACGATTTAAACTTGATATAATAAGCCATCGACAAAGATGTGCTTCGCAGCATGTGTATGAAATATATACATGTTTTCCTCTGAACAGAATACCGACTAATGGATAAACTGGAAGCATACAGGAAGGAAATGACTGTACATGGATCCCACAAAACCGCTGCGCGACGCTGTCTATTGCAACGTTCACAGAAAGCATCATACAAAGAGATCGACAAATGTTCAGGAAATATGATGGACTGTTCAATGAACAGTTACATAGATGTTGACCTTGATCAGCATGGTAGCAAACAAGTACGGGGTACAGGGTATGATCAAAGTTATTCAGCTTGTTTCCCACAAATCTGACTGTCACAGTTCTTACGTCGCTGGTGACGGTCGGGGCTACCTTTTCGTAACGCAAGGCACCTGCGAAGGCACTGCTCTTCTATTGCAATGTCTCACAGTAGTGAAATCGCTAGCAACCAAAAATTTAAAGAACATCGATGAGACATAAGTGACCGAATCAAGAATAAGTCTAGAGTCTCTCATGGCCAGCTGATATAAACAAAGAAATAAGTCTCTCTGACTATGCTGGCAACGCAGTTTAAATGACCTACTCAAATTATTGCTTACTGCCACTCATAATTAGTGAACGAGTCACATAGGGGTTATAGAAGTGATGGATTTAACAGTAACATATGAGCTAGGATAAACGAATCGTTCAAAGTATTCTGAGTTATAAATGCATACCATATGACATTTCCGAGGATTGAATTTTAGGTCATTATGACCAAACCAACTCCGCCGTTGCCGGTCCCAACCCCCGCTGAGAAAGGAGTACGGCTGGAGACCGTGGCAAAGTCTCCGTAAAATTTAGCCGCCTGCCACTCATGGCATTGACAACATCGAAAATTATACCGGCTCGGTCGTCGCCCGCCTTACCAAGAGCCGCGCAGGCTGTTGGGAGACTGAGGCAGACTGCGAAAAGTCGGCGATCAGAACCTGCTCATTGCACTCTGCAGCCGGGGGCGTGGCAGCATAATGACGGCTGACGAAGACCGACGCAACGACGACGAAGATACCAGTCAGCAACGGAGTCGCTACCCGTTC